GGCGGCGGCGGCAACGACGACGGCGGCGACGGCGACGACAAGGGCGGCGCCGGCGGCGGCGGCGACGCTCCGGAGCAAAGCTTGAGGACGAACAGCTGACAGGACGAAGCCAGGACGAGGACCTGGTCGGATGAGGGGACATCGAGAATCTCTGGGAGCCGGCGGGCTTGGAGCATGCATCGGGCGTCGCGACCTTCTCAGAGCGATCTGGGGCGCTCTGAGAGCGCTCCAGAACGCTCTGTTGTCCTTGTCCTAGCCTGACCTCTCAGGAGTGGCTAAGTCCAGACGGAGTACGCCCGGACGGAGGCCAAGCACTCCGTGCGGACTTACTCCGCACGGACTTAGCATCCTCTGAGAAGGGGCTAAGCTCAGACGGAGAGCGCCCGGATGGAGACCAAGCACTCCGTACGGACATCCTCCGTACGGACTTAGCACCGCGACCTTGGGTGGCGACATCCGAACCCTACCCCCACCTACCATCGATTCTTCTGAATCGATGTGGAGCTGGTGCTCGGATTTCGCCACGCATTCGACGAATTCCGAACCCTGCCCCCGCCGCCCATCGAGTTGCCCGAATCGTTGATCAGCGAGGGTCGGAGGTGAGGGGGTGAGATCGCAGTGGAAAGGAGAGCCCCCACCAGGAAATCGGTTTCGGTTTCGTGTTCGTGTCGTGCGTGCGGGCGAGACGAAGCTGCGTGGGCACGCGTCATGAAATATGCCGCCGTGGCTAAGGGCTGTGGAGCGGGTTGTCCGCCGCTCCTCCGCCGGGCGCGCGGTGGACGGGGGTGTCCAGTCGGTGGCCCGTCGGTGTCTCGTCGGTGTCCCGTCGGTGTCCCCTCGGTGTCCCGTCGGTGGCGCGGCGGTGTCCCGTCGGTTGTGCGGGGTGTCCCGTCGGTGGTGCGGGGTGGCCCGTCGATGGCGCGGCGGTGAGATCGATAATGAGATGGATAGTGAGATCGATTGGTATCGATAGTGAGATCGATGGTGAGATCTGCTGTGAGATCGATCGTGAGATCGCTCGTGAGATCTATAGTGAGATCTGTTGCGAGATCGATGGTGGTAATGCCCGTGAGATCTATAGTGCGATCGACCGTGAGATCGATACTGAGATCGATTGTGAGATCAATATTGAGATCGATGGTAAGATCAGTCGTGAAATCGATAGTGATACCGATGATGAGAACTGTTGTGATATCGATAATGAGATCTGTTGTGAGATCGATGGGAGATCGATTGTGAGATCGATTGTGAAACCGATAGTTAGATATGTTGTGAGAGCGATCGCGAGATTTGTGAGATCGATAGTGAGATCTGTTGTGATGTCGATCGAGATCGATTGTGAGATCGCTTGTGAGATCGATAGTGAGAGATCTGTTGTGAAATCGATGGTAAAATTAATTGTGAGATCGATAGTGAGAACTGTTGTGAGAGCGATAGTGTGAATGTGAAATTAGTAGCGATGTTGATTGCCAGATCGATGGTAAGACCGATTGGGTGATCGATAGTGAGATGTGTTGTGAGATTAATCGTGAGATCGCTTGTGGCATCGATAGTGAGTTCGATTGTAAAATCGATAGTGAGATCGACTGTGAGATCGATAGTGCAATATGTTGTGAGATCGATGGGCAGAGCGATTGTGTGAGATCGAGAGTTTGATTGATGTGAGATCGATTGAATGAGACGTTGGCTCCCCCTCCCCCCCCGAACCTCATATCACCCGAAGGGTGGTCGAATGGGTAGGGTTCGGGCTTCACCGCCGAGACCTCCCTTGGCAGCCAGCCTTCGTGCAGTTGCGGAGTCATGTCAGGGGGACTTTCTGGCCAGAGTCTCGGCCTCCCGCTCCGCAGCCCGTTCTTGGGGGCCCAGTTTGAGTCCGCCAAGGACAACTGCGCTACTGGACTGCACCAAACGTTTGGGCACAAAGCCCTACTGTGAGGGCATGAGGCAAAGAACCATTGGATAAAGAATCCAGGGTCTGGAAGCCGGTGGAGCTCCCGTCGTGGCTCGGCCGTGGATTTCACCGCCGCCCTCATCAGATATAACGACCCCTCCAGGGTCTGAAGACGACCCCTCCAGGGTCTGAAGCCTCCTGGGCACATTCCTTGACTAGGGAAACGACAAAAAACATGAACGTAAAAAATCGGAGGTCCGCGCGGATTTCTCAGATCGGCGCTGGACCCCCCTCCCTGACGCGCGGAGCGCGCCAGGGGCGGCGCTGGAGGCGCCGCCAGGGGGCCCCAGCGCCGATCCGAGAAATCCGCGCGGACCTCCGAGTTTTTGTTGCTTATGCCACGTTCCGCTCCCTATTGACGAACGCACGCACCGAATTCGATGAGCCGCGACCTCCCGCGGCGGCGCCGCTGCAGCGCTGCCGCTCGGCGACGCGGCGACGCTCGGCGACGCGGCGCCGCTGCGGCGGCCGCTCGCCGCGCGGCACGTGGCCGGCGGGGAGCTGCCGCTGCGGGCCGGCGCCCAGCTGCTGGGGCGGCCGCGGGCCTCGCGGCCGCCCTCGGCAGCGGCGCCGGGCAGCACGCCCGCCGCGGGCAGGCACGCCAGCGAGCGCTGGCGGCCGCGGCCGGGCGTCCTTTGATGCTTCGACCCTCCTCCTCATCCTCCTCCTCCTCCTCCCTCCCCTCCTCCTCCTCCTCCTCCTCCTCCTCCTCCTCCTCCTCCTCCTCCTCCGCCTCCTCCGCCTCCTCCGCCTCCTCCGCCTCCTCCTCCTCCTCCTCCTCCTCCTCCTCCTCCTCCTCCTCCTCCTCCTCCTCCTCCTCCTCCTCCTCCTCCTCCTCCTCCTCGAACCCTCGAGCCCTCGAGCCCTCGAACCTCCTCCCGCGGCGCCTCGAGCCCTCGCTCCTGCGTTCCCGCGGTTCTTCGATCCCTTCGATTCCTCGATCCCTCGATCCTCGATCCTTCGATCCTTCGATCCTTCGATCCTTCGATCTTCGATCCTCGATCCCTCGATCCTCGATCCTCGATCCTCGATCCCTTCGATTCCTCGATCCTCGATCCTCGATCCTTCGATCCTTCGATCCTCCTTCGGTACCCGGTCCCTCGATCCCTCGATCCTCTGCCTTCAAAGGGCGGGGGTCGTGCGCCTCGGCGGGCTCCCCGCCGACCGCGGCGCACCGTTGCCCTGGGGGCTCCCATGGAGAGCGCACGCCGGCGGCAGGTGCGCCAACGGCTTTCGGAGGCACGGCAGGGCGGAGAGCATCGGGGCCCCAGGGCAGAGGCCTCCCAGATGGGGTCCGAGTAGATGTCGGGAG